CGTTAGGCAATGTTCAGATAAATTAATGCCATCCGAAACTATTGAGGTAATAACTGTTTTACATTTGATTGAAAAATTTTCTGGGAAATTGAAATGGCTGAACATCAACCAACACATTTTAAATATTCTACTGTCAAAGGAAACGAAAGTTCTAAAATAATTTCAGGTTATATTCAAAGAATCTGTGATTATTACAGTTATTTGTTTTCAAGAGAGAATAATTTACCACATTTCTGTAGTAAATCCAAATAATTCATCTCACTGATATTTCAAAAATTAAATACCATTATTAAATGCATTATTACTCTCTTGGAATGGCTTTTCTTTCTCCTGGTTATTAAACCATAATAAAATGCTCATAAATTGTGGCGTGATTTCAGAATTTCACATAGCGAACATTTATAGCAATCGAAAATAGATGAAAGAAATGAAGCTGCCGATATTCAAGTGTTCTCTTTATCACTGATCATCACTGATTTCATTCATTCTTTAAGGTACAAGGTGATATTAAATGTTGCATGGCGCTCAAATATATCAATCTAAAAAACTCAGTAAGTAAATAATAGTGAAATAAATTTTTTTGAAATAACCCCAAATAGACTTTTTTCTATCTCTTGACTCTTGGCTTATAAATAAGCAAACAAATCATGCAATTCTATTTTAGTTAGACTATATTAATAATTAAATAAATGAGTTAGATATTAAAGCATAATCTCCGGACAATGGAAATGTAACTTATTACGAATAATTTTCAGATATGTGAATTTTAGCTTCCACCTAATGACAGTTTCTATTATATTTTTCTTTTCGAAGTGTGCTTCATTTTTTGCATCACATGGATAAGTTATTTTAAAATTTTTGATAAAGAAATTAAAAGCTGGAATAGTTCGAAATATCAAAACAAAACATAGCAGCAAGGGGATAATTAAATAGGTAATCTAAAATTATTAACATAGCAATTATTTCATATTTTAGTAGTTTTAGGGCCTTCCAAGAAAGATAAAAATCAATATAGTTTTTATTTTTTTGACAGATAACACGATCCGATATGAGACTGATTCACCAACACTTTTACAAGTGATTGATTCGATTCATTCATAACTAATGCAACAATGATTGTCTGTTCGTTAAGTACGTGAGTAGATAAACGATACAGAGAATTTTATTCATTGAAATGAACATAAAATAAATAATATACAGGTATGGAATAGCAATAACAGCAGAAAAAGATGATAAAGATTATGGATGAATGATTAAATTGCAAGAATTCAATTAACGAAATACCGAAACAATTTGTAGTACCGGAAATAGCAGCGATTGTTTCAGTTTAAAATGACCTTAGCTGCTTCCTTTTTCAGCATAAATTTTCTTCATGTGAGATTACAAAATGAATTGTTCTAAGAAACTTTGGCTGCAAACAATTCAATTGAAAAGGAGTTTTTTATTATTGTGAGTTTACATGTTCTTTTTAAATTATCTCTTCGGTAAGAATATTTCTTGCAAGTCGGACAGCTGTACAGCACTTCACCGGTATGAATCCCCACATGTTTTCTCAAATGCAATGATTAAGAGAAACTTTGATTGCATGTTGAACAGCTGTACGGTTTTTCACCGGTGTTAATTCTCCTATCTTTTTTCAAATTCGATGAGTCAGAGAAATTTCGTCTGCATGTCGGACATTCGCGCGACTTATCACCGGCATTTTTTCGACAAACACCATGCTGTAATTTTTGTTCAGAATTCGCTTTTTGGATTGTTAAATTCGATGATTCCATCTGTTCTTTATTCCCTTCATTAATTGATAAGTTCAGCAGTTCTATTCGTTGTTTATCCACTTTTCGCACCGATAAATCCAACGGTTATTTTGTATTACTTGTGCTTCCTGAAAATTACATAAAATTATTCATTTTACCTAATGTTTTCACTGCTATGAGTCATCTCATGTCTTTTCAAAGGCATGGTTGAAGGAAGCTTTTTTTGAATTTGGAACAATTGTACGGCTTTTTACCGGTACGAGCCCTCAAATGCGATGATTCATTAATTTATGAATTCTGTAGTTTTATTGGTCCCTCACTCACTCTTGACACCGATAAATCTAACGGTTGTGTTTGTGGTGTTTGTGCTGCCTGAAATTACATAAAATTATTCAATTTACCTAATGTCGAAAATTTGAAGTCTTTGAAATATTACTTTTTTTCAACTTCTAATGAATTTACTGTAATTTGAATGTTTAATTGGAAGTAGAAGAGGAGAAAGAAATTGATAAAATACATACTGACAGATATAATTTCTTGCCAGTTCTAAAAAGTATTCAAATTTGCCAACACACTATGAATGATTACTTATAAAAAATTACACCGGTCGTTCTTTGACAAATAACTTTAAAAAAATTTCTTTCAAACAAAACATTTCGAAATATATTAGCATCGAGAAGGAAACTGTCACACAATCATTGCTAATACAATAAGGCCATTTATCACATGCAAGCAACATACATAATAACTTATTCCTTCTCCAAAGCTAAATTTTATAGAAGGATAACTCTAATTTTGTCCTGAAGTTCTTGACATACCATACTGCAAAATTTTGGAAAGAGGCTGACATTTTTTTGTTGAAATAAATGAAATAGTTTTTAATGAGTGGAATTTATGGAAGAAAATAATTGCGGATTCATCAATCCATATATGATAAATAACGATATCATTATTGACAATAAAAAATTCTGTAAGTGAGGAAGACAAAAAGAAATTTATAGAAAAGTGAATTTCAAACCAGGAGGTCGATTATTTATAACAAAATTAAACCACGAGAATTCGACTAATCCAGAAAACGCCAAATTTCAATACATTTTCGATAGTTTGCAAATGGAATTTAACCGTCTATTAAATGTAGCACATCAAAGAAATTGTGAAAAACGGAACTATTACTGTTAATCGAACGACTATCAATCAATTACCAATCCAACCTTAGCTGGTAAGCTATCATTGCAAGCAAATGATATAATCGCCAAATGAATTCATGATCACTCCTTAGAAGCTGAAAGGATTGAAACACCACCTCTTATTAAATTCAAGGCCGGTCAGAGTTGTAAATATTAGCAGCAAGAAACACTGAATTCTATCCTCATAAGATCAGATCCGAAACATTTCTGAGAAGAAATCAATTAACAAAGAGAAGAATCAATGAAAGAATTAGAAAACGGAATTGGTAATGCTGCAGAAATGATCGAAGAAGAATTATCTGAAGTAACAAATCATTGGGAAGCAATCACTCTTAATATCATTACTAAAATTCTTTTTGTTGCAATTCTAAATTTACCCCTCTCGAAGTATTCAACTCCTTTATTCGGAAGTGTCGCGAAGCTCGAAATAATTTGTTATAACTATGCTTCAGTAACAAGAATAATTTATTGTTGAAATATCTCTTACTCAAATGATTCATTGCATAAATTGATTGTAATTTGTAATTTGAATGTTACAATGTCTGATGTGATGAAAAATTTAGCTAATTTCTATCCTTTTTTTATTACTATAATATCCAATGATGCAATTTCTGGACCAAATTGTAAGACAATACTGATCTTGCATATCGTGTAATTGGTTATTAACTGGCAGGAACATCTTTTTGTAATCCCTCAGTCAGAAATATTTCTCATATAAGCGAGTATATTTGCAATTTTACACTACTATATAAAAACTAAGCTTGGGTTAAGGTCTAAAAGGATATTCCAAAGTCCTATACAATAAAGATATAAGTATAAATGTAGTATGCTTGTCAAGATAAAATACGTTAGTTGAATTAGATAGCTTCATCAAGTTTTTACGACATACTCTTTTTGATTGATCACAAATACAGCAATAATGATGCATGGTATTCTTAATTTTCCATACGTCTGAACTACTTTACTTGTACCAGAGCCCGTCAGAAATTCAATAACGATTGCTATCTTAGCCGCAGTTATTTTATCAAGAGACACAAATGATGCTATAAGTGATATCGACGTTTATATCCTGTGAATCTGCCACAACCGGGAAGACCACTTCCACGGATACATTAAACATTGTAAAGTTCATCATAAATTAAGAATAGCTATTATTATCGTTCTCATGTGAAACAGCTTTTTGATGTGTGAAACGAAAGGAAAACGACAAATTATTCTTTATCACTGGTATACTAATATAGGAAACTGTGCAGTCCATATTTTCATTAAAAAAATCTTTTGTACCTTAATATGTAAATTTCTTGCAAAATGGTCGTAGCTGTGATTTCCAAGTTTTTATACCATTCAAATATTTGAACTAATTATTGTCCAGAGAAGAAAGCTCGACAGAATGCGGTTGTATCTGGCTTGCTACGTTTTTGTCATATTGTTCGTGGCACAGATAAGGTCGAATCACATCATCTCGCATCGCTTATCACTTTTCATACAACGACACTGGTATAATAATGTATGTATTTAAATTCCAAATTTAAAAATTGTATTTTCTGTTCTGTTTGCAGAGGACATTCGTCAAGCAAAAAATATACTGATGACAGAGTGAGAATGAACCAAGAAATCAGTGGACAGGACAGTGTCTTGGACCCTAAGAAACGGTTGGTCTGTAAAATTGCAATATAGTATTTGCATGATATGAATGTTACAGATATCACAGATATATCGTTTAAACGATTGCAAATATTCTAAAGTGAGAATAGACGCCGCCAAGAAAGTCTTTATCATCATTAGCAAAACGCATTGGTGCAATGAAGGGATCAAAGCGGTGTTTGGCGTCAGTGCCGAAACAAGGAGAAATGGCTCGAATGTGATTGCGTGGGCTATGCCGTACAATTACACTGGATCGATAGATCCGGTAAATAAGTTAGTATAATCTATGTGATGAGTGATTATCAACGAAAACAGTCATGCCAGAAGACTGATGGGCTTTAATTAATTATAATCATTGTAAGTTGTAAGGAAAACTTTTCTGCACTACTCATCGCATGGGTGTTAAAATGATTCGATTATCACTAGATTCCTAGATTAAAAGTTCAGAATCATTTGCAAAAAAAAGTCGTTTGTGCCATAATATTATCCCATAGGCTGTATTTCATCTCAGAAAATATTGTAGCGTAGCAGATGTCGAAATGATGCATACTTTGAAAATGCTAGCAGAACTGCTTATGGATTAGCGAGGATCGATTTGCTTTGCCGTAAAAGACAACCACGTTTCGCACGTTTAGTGAGACGGATTTGGAAGCGATCTGTTCAGGAGAAGCACCATCCATTCACAGGTTTTGTAAACAGAAGTTCCTTAAAAACACCTATTACTTCATCATTATCATCTCACTGTCAATATCAGCATTGCATTAGCGATGAGGAATTACAAAGATGTCTAATTCTCAACTCATTTGCAGAAACGCATATCATTTCAGTGATCCATTTTTTAGTTACCATCTATGGAATCAATGAAAGCCTTTTCACAATTACAATCGGCGTGCTGTTGTACGCTGTATTTGGGGCGTGTTTTTTGGTAACTAATTTGGCATACTTGTCCGGAATATGTACAGTTCAAAATGCTACTCTCATTCCGGAAGTGAGTTTTTAAATTATTAAGAACAAAGACATATGAACAAACAATAGTATGAGGAGATATCACTACTAAATCGAATCCCACAGTACAGTACATTAAGGGTCTTCGCATAACTGCTTCGTTACTGTCAATTTGAAAAAAATCTAAACAAATTTTATTTCCTGAAATCTTAAGGAAAAAGAAATGTTAAGGTAAAAGAAATAAAGAATGATGATGTTAACTTCTTATATCATCTTTCAGAACGAAAAAAACGAAATACCAAAGGATAAAGTACTACAACCCTGATTCAACAATAATATTCCTCAACACATTTCTTGAGAAAAGCAAAAAACAAAATAGCTAAAAGTTTCGCAAAAGGAATATCATATAAAGAAATAATTAAATGTGTCATCCAAATTTTCATTTTCGTTATCTTTCCTCTAAAATATATGTTTAATAATAAGCTCAAATATGCTACATTACATGTAACAACTAACTGTCTATTGCAACATAAATAATTCCATCTTGTTTCGCCCTAAACCACCATATTCACTGCACTACTGTGGTACGTACCTATTTCTTCATCTTATCTCTTAAATGTTTCGTTTACATCAAATTTTGAACACTCCTAAACCAATATATTCTAAATACTTATGTTACTTCCATGAAGCAACAAATATTTTAAACTGTTGTAAATCTATCTTATATTGAGGAATCCACCCATAATTGTATAACAGAGGACAATAACGTTACACAGCATAATATACGTGCTTCGGCAAAAGCCTACAGAATCTAAATGGCAGTTCCTTGAATTTGGCCTCACTTTGCACGGTGCACAGAAGAATATGCAGGAATATATGCAATCTTTCGAGTTGTACTGCACGACTGCAAATAACTGGTATGGCATACAGTGCAAATTAAAATGGTTGCCAACAAGGTGGTGGTTTTATGTAAGTAACGGTTGTAATTGAAAATATGAAGGTAATTTTGATGTATTTGATATTTTGATTTTGATGCGTTAAATTTTATAAGGTTTCTAGCTGTTTCATTTTAGCTGTTTCAATTAGTTGTTTCATTTCTTTATCACTCCTTTTCGAATTTCATTTCTTTTTTCTTCCACTTTTTAAACAGCTTGCCTTAAGTTCCTTGATACCTTTCTATGCAGATAACAACCTTTGTGACATCCTATTATCATCAGTTGAGACCATCAGATATTCCTCACGATAATCTCTGAGGACGAAGACGCTGATCTTAGCGAACTCTCTGACCCACTGACTGTTCGGAACATAATAAGGGGCATTAGACAAAGTGCATTTTAAGAAATAAAAAACAACCCTGAAAATTCTCCTTCTCTCTGTTTCCAAAAATTGTTCCATTGTTAGGTAAATGGTACTTCCCAACATACTGTACACAAATCCCCGTACTATAATTTCCACTGAAGTCGCCACATATCACGAAAGTTCGCAGCAGGGTTTGCCCATACAACCGGCTATCCCTTTATTGGACTACCGCCAAGTGCACCTCTTGCTCCAGACATGCGTACTCTCTGCAAATCTACTGCTCACATACTCCCTCTCTCTTCCTCTGTTTGCATAATTCACATTATTCATCGGTCTCGTTTTCTAACATTCTTCAACCTTACACGTGATTTTCGCACGCATCTTCTCTCACATTATTTTTACCGACAAATTTTCCGACTGTCATTCACGTGTCTCTGCTCATGCCTTTATCTCTTGCTTCACGTTGCTCACATGTCTATACACCTGTCTGCTCATTCGTTTGTATGTCTAGCCGTCCGCAATAAACTTCTACTGTTCCTTTATTTTCCCCAATGTCCTTGTATTATAGGCCTGGAAGTCATGCGATCTGCTGAAGTGTTCGAGAGGGGCATTTCGTGGGCCTCGCAACACGTCAGTGCGTGCCTTCCTTTTCTCTCTGTCCCCATTTTCTCCCTCTTCCCATTCACTCTTATCCCCTGCAAGGTCATTCTCTTCTTCCTTGTTTCACTGCAACAGCATTTATTCACTTGCCAATATTTGTTTACGATGTTCGCTTGGTCTTTGCTCCTTTACTTCCCTCATCCGTTCGATCGATCGACTAGTCCACGTAACCTTTGACTACGTGTGCTAAAGGTATAATTAGTGATGTCTGGAAGGTACACTTTCCTCGAATAGTATATCTTTTTATTGACAAAGCTACCGTCGGATACTTGCGCATAAATGTTTGACATTAATTAAAAACACTCTGCTGTAGCGCGAAACTCGGATGTGATCGAAGATTGTTATCAGAGGATCTTGTGGATATTTCCGGTCGTCATTCCGATTTCATTCTCGCATTAAATTCATCCTTTATACTGTTTCCACAGAACATCCGGAATGACATCATGACATTCTTATCTCTCATCATTCTTAAAGATTGGAAAGAGCGGAAAGGGAGAGAGGATTGAAAGAGAGTTATGCAGATGCAAGTGACCTTAGAGATGTGATTGCTGCACCCCAGTAGCGGCATATGTTGCAGTACGATCTTTTATAGCCTGTCAAAAGAGTCTACCTAACCTGTTCTGATGAAATGAGCATAAACTGGCATGTACCAAACAATTTCAACCCGAAGTTTTAAAGTATGTTACTTTTCACGTCTTATTCATATGTATTAATTAGATTGGGACATAATGTTTGATCCACGTTAATCAAACGAGCTTTTAGGAAACGATCGGCTTAAGGCGCAAGCATCTACGAATTCGCTTGGTTATGTGTGCCATAAACATCACTTCAGAATTCACTTCTGTCTTAAATTAGTCTTTTAAATCGATATTTATTGCGGTGTGGCCAACTGGGTAAAAGCATGGATTTAAGTGAAGAGTGATAATATTAAGCAGGTGGATGATAACCTTTCATTTATGGGAATGTCTAAAGTTCACTTTTGCGATTGTCATCAGCACTGTACGACCGCTCTGTCCTGAGTGATGAAGCATTCGTGAAAATTGAAGCACTATGGGAAACATTTATGGGAAACATCACGTACCCTAGTCAACTGCAGATCAAAATAAGCCTATTGCGAAGTGTGTTTCAAATCCTTAAGAATGAATGTTGTGTGCCTAGCAAAAGTTGTCTTTTAACTCATTTGGATCTATAACGGTCGGGAAATAGACATATTCAAGGTCATTAAACATGTTTTGAGTAGACTTCTGGCTCTAACAATTTATGTTTTTTCCTACTTCTCTACAGTTAGTTACTCCCTTGTTGTTACACCTGTTTCAGGTACTTCCTTATATCTTCCTGATCCTACACGTCATATCAACTACTCTACTACAACAATAGCACCTATTGTAATCATTGATCTGAAATTCTCAAATTTTATAATTTTTTCCGTTCTCAGATTTTACAATTTTTTTTCGTGCTGTTTTTCCAGCTTTGTTTGGATGAGAGTATAAATCACTTCTTACTGTTTTTGCTACCGTTAGCATCCCTGCCTGTCAATTAATTTCATTTCAATAGCTCCTTCAGAAGCACTACGGGATAAAGTTCTCCAAATGAACATCTGTTGTATATAGAGATAGAATCTTAAGTATTGACAGTACATACAAAAAGGTGTGTGAGACGATAGGTTGAGCTTACTCATTTATCCCAAACATCAATAATGATAGGTGAAAGTGTGTGTGAGGAGGTGGTCGGCTATTTCAAATATTTCGCAATGAAACCAAAACGGGCATTTTGTTCCTTCCCGAAATTTCATTCCAATTCATCAATAACAAATTCTCCCGTATTGGAGTCGCGTTATATACGGTGATAAAAAGGGTGATAAAAGGGAAGAGAGGTTGACAAATCAAGGAGGGGAAGGAGGAGCTATAATGTCCCCTATAGGTTGACTCAGGCCGGCACTCAAGAATGTTTTGGTTCTATTCTCGCTCTAACAAACTATATTTTTTCGTACTCCACTATAAATAGTTACTGCGTTGTGTTAAACGTGTTCCTGGTGATCTCCTGATACTTCCTAGTCTTCGATACTAATCCTTCTTGTGAGCTGTTATGCATATTCAAGTTTCTTTTTGTCTGTGTTTTGAAGTGACAAAAAATATTGAGTTCTTTTTTTCCACTTTCTGTTCGCTTCTTTTAATCCATCTCTTTCTTATTCACTTTTTACAACTAATACTTCAGAAATTGCAATATACCATTGCTGCAACCTGATTGCGTCTATACTTGTTCGTTCTCCCTAATCACTGATTAAATTGTCGATGATCTCCCTCACATTTTTTACAAACCGACCTGTTGTATCCGTTTATATTCACATAGTTTTGTATCATTGCTTTGTCATTTCGCCACGGGGCAGTGATTTTTAGTATTTCTCTTCAGAGTTTTGTCTTCGAACTGATTTATTTTATTCTTTGAGATGGTGTTGCACACAATTCTGTATTGCAAATTCCACTGATAAATCTGTGTCGTATACAATCTCTGAGATTGGAACCCCTTCCCCCCCCACCCCCCATATTTGTTCATAATTTCAAGTTAGAAAGTCTGCATTGACTGCCCTCATTTTTGACACATACGCCAATCAAAAGCAGCTTGCATAATGCCTGAAAACAAGAAAAATTACGATTTGAAGAATTAGTCCCCATCTGCGTAAAAATTTTCGGAAATCCCATGTTGTAGAAATTTAACAAATGCATGAAAAG